CAAATAAAGGTTGGAATTGATTATTAAAGCAGAAATCATTATAGATAGTATTATTCTTTTTGAGCCAAGTCTCAGTAATACAAGCTATGCCTATTTTGTGTTTATCAAGAATAAGTTTTAATTCATTGGTTTTATTGATCACTGAGCGTGCATTAATTAATATACCACTAATTTCATTTTTAATTATTTCTTTACCTCTGGTGTTCGCGAGTCCCTATTGTGTAGTTTTGTTCTTTAAGGGACGGGGATTTTTAAGTTCTCTGATATGCAAATCAGATATAACGTATTTATAAAGACCACACGAATTATTTAATGAGTAGGCATGCCTACGTAATTGATACAAAAATTGTAGCTCAGGAGGCGAGCAAATACATTGTTAGGAATTGTGGAAATGGTACGAGTAATGCTATGAAATTGTTGAATAAAATGGTTACGAGAAACATTATCTATAAAGGGTATTTTTATGAGCTGAGGCCTAGCAGAATTTGTTTGAGAGAATTTAGTTTTATGCCGAAAAGGTGGGGTATTTTTGTCAAGTTTATCACTAAGATTGCATTTACTTACAATTTCTCCAATAATTCGATTGTCATCTTCTTCGCTCATAAAAGGCATCCTTTCTACCACGGCTATTTTCGATTTTTTGTTGATTGTGTCTGGATTTTCCGCAGCATAAGCCGCCATTTTCGAAAATAAATTGTTGTCTGTAATAAATGATGGAGGTTGACCCCAGAGTGGGCTATTTCGATTATTTTTGTTCGTTATGTTAATATTTTCATTGATTAGATTATTGGAATTTTGTTTAAAAATTTCACTGACAGTTGTTTGAATTATTGTTTCAATTGATGGCTTTAATAATTCTGCAACCATCACAGCTATCTGCGATAGCTGCTCTGGTGATAAGTTTAAGTTTGGCACAATTGTATTGTCAGAAGAAGAGCTTTCCATTGAATTTGAACGAATACGTTTATTTAAATTGGGCATTATTGATTGATGGTTATTTTGTGAAAAAAGGATGGGAGTGTGAAAAAAGGATGGGAGTGTGAAAAAAGGATGGGTTATTAAAACAAAATTAAAAAAATATTTTTTCTTTTTAATTTTTATTTCAAACCCCCTTATTTATGTGGCAATTTATTAAAAAAATTCCTAAAGGGGAGATTATATTATGAGAAAATTGTAAACAATTTTATAAAAGTTTATTGAGGAAAAATATTAAAGGAAAAGCTAAAAGGCTGTCTTTAAAAGCATTATTTTCTGTTTAAGAGAAAAAAAGGTTTTTGAATTGTTTGTGTGGAACGAATGCGGGGGAAAAAGAAAAATAAATATTTAAAAAATAAAATAAAGGGAAGGAGAGGTTGTCATCAACAAAATCAATGTTTTTAAAAAGAAAAACAAAAAAAAACTAAATATTTATTTATTTATTACATTTTTCTTTCCTCACACTTTTACAATTTTTGCTAAAAAATTTAGCGATAAAAACGTTTACTTAATAGTTTTGCAAAAAAATAAGAACATGCACACACACACAAATAATTATCTGGCATGAAATTTTCGAAGAAAAAAGGGTAAAATAAATGGAGTGATTTAGAAAATGAAAAAAAATTTTTTTGTATTTCTTAAAGTAAATTTTAAAAGGAAGACTTAAGAATTTGTAGTTTTAATAAAATAAAGCTTTTTAGCTAAAAAAATTTAAAACATTTTTCGGTTATACCACCTCCACTTTAAATCAAGAAGGAGGGGGGGGGAGGATTCTGTACTCCTCCTTAAATTGAGATTCCCTAAAAAATTTCCCTTCCTAGAAAGTTATGAAAAATTGAACAATCCAATAACCTTCATCAGGCTCGATAATACATAACTTTGCCAAAAAATTTCTCGATCAAATGATTTGGGTATCATTAAAAACTCAACTCGGAAAGCTCTTTCAATTAAATTATTTGCCTAGTAAAAATCTCTTCCCTTGATTTTGTTTTTTTGTATTTTTGAAAATAAAGTATTCAAAATCCACCTTTAGATTGAAATTAGCACTTTAATGAAACCGAATGAAAATGTAAAAAATTCTAAAAAAAATTAAAAATAAACAAAAAATTTAACCAGAAATATTTTAATTTTTGGATTGAACGAGTTCTTTTGTTTTTCTACTTTAGATTAATTCTGATTAAAAAATGAATTAGATTTTGAATAAAGAAATGAAAAAAATTTTCTTGAGAAAAATTTATATTTAAAAACAGAATTTCCGAGAAGCTAAAATACATATTATTTGTATTTAAACTAAAAAATTTATGTAAAAGTACATATAAGCTGCGCGAAAGAAACTGTGTGGCCTTTCTTCCCTCACTCACCCAAACATGTTAATACAGCCCCCTATTATTTATTGTTTTGTTTCTACATATACATAGAAACAAAACAAATTTAAAGAAAAAATGTTAATAAAAAATAATTTTGTAAATTAATTTTTAAAATTATTTAAAAAAAGACCTAGATAGTTAACAAACAGTTGAGTATTTTATAAGGAACAGAAAATTTTAAATGATTCTTTTTTTTAAAAGCAAAATAAAAATTGACTCATAAATACACAAATATTTTTTCCCGTTATTTAAATAATAAATACAAATTATTTTTATTAATAAAAATAATGGAAAAAATATTTTTATTTAAAAATAAAAACAAAAAGATTAGAAAAATATTTTACAAAACAACAAAAAAATATTTTTCCGTTTCTTATTTACCGCTACATATTTTTAAAAAAATATTTTAAAGGGAAAGAGAAATTAGCTAAATAATGGCATGAAAGCATCCGTTTGGCATTGACAGTCATTCTCTTTTTTTTATTTCATTTAAGTGTTTTTGATATGGGTTGCCCTGGCAGTCATTAAAAATATTATTATTATGTACTTTGCATTCTCAAAAATTGTTTTTTTTAATATTTTTGTTTTTATATATTAAAAATAATTCTTAGAATAAATAAATATTTGGTATTTGGTATTTTAAAAAATATTTTTAAATTATCATTTAATCAAATTTGTAAGTGAAAAATATCGAAAAGGGTTTAGAGTTAAAATTAATGAACGTTTAAATGATAGATCAAGAATAACGGTATCGATAAACGGTATTTTTAACCGATATATAGTATCGGTCTGGTTTCTAGTTACAATAACTAGCTAGGTATATTTCAATTAATTAAATTATTACCAAAAATTCTCTCTTTTTCGTTTAAAATACATTTAAAAACTGATGAGAATTTAAAGCAATAAAAAATATATGAACTCTTAAGAGATTAGAAAATTACTTATATTTGATATATCGTCATAAAAATAGATAAAAAAATACAAAAATATTTGTGATATATTTTAAAAGATTTCATATCATTATTAAAAAAATAAACAAAAATTTATTAATTAAATATTCACAAAGTAACTAGTTTATGTTTTTAAATATTTTTGTTGGTAACAACACCGTAGTTGCCGAGTATATATTTTTTCTTTCAAATATTCTCGCGCGTTTAAACACATGACAGGCAAATGACAGACACAGTAAAAATTGCCGGTTTTGTAAAAAAAAATTAAAAAGAAAAAAGTGGAACGAATATTTAGTACACCCAAGAGTGTTTGTCTGTCATTAAATAATTTTTTGTTTGAAAATAAAAATAAAAAAAAGAAAATAAGATTTTATATTTTTGTTGTTTTAGGGGCCAATCAGAAGGGAAAAAGCCATTAATTCTTTAAATTTTTACGAGTTTGTTTTTATTTTTTTATTAGTGATGATTTTTGGTGTAATGATTTGAAAAAGAAAAATATAAAAATTAAAATTGTAGAAAGAAAAGTACAAAGTTTTTGAAAAAAATATTTTTTGGAAAAATTTGCAGTCACTTTCCCTCCTACTTTTTAAATAAAATTCCGGATCCTTCGAAAAACTGATTTAAATAATTATTTAAAAATATATTTTTAATTATTTAAAAGTATTCGGTTAATTAAAAATATGTGACCTAAGTGAGATATAAAAAATTAAAAATTAACTAAAATTATTAAATGGCAATAATTCTTGACATAAAATGTATAAAGGATTTAAAAAAGGGGGAAATAAATATGTGAGGATTTTAATGAGAAGAAAAATGTTGCCAATAATTAAAAAATATTTTTTCTACGTAAATAAAAATGACGTTATTTTGATATGAAAATAAATATTATAAAGGAGTACTTAATTTTAAGTGTTTTTGAGGTTAAAATAAAATAATTCATTAAGCTACGAATCTTGATACTAAAAATAAATATGATAAATTTAAATATTTATTTGGTTATAATTTATTTAAAGATAATTCAAAATAAAACTATACATAGCTCCTCTAACTTTTAGAGGTTAAATTCACGTCCGAAATCGAGAAATGAAGTTATAAATTAAAAAATATTGTTAATGATTGTTTTGGAGAATCATATTTTTGTGTAAACATGACACCTTAAGGCTTAAAAATTGGAGATAAAAAATGGATACATCAAGTCCTAAATAATAGAGCCAAGTCAAGAAATAAATAAATATGTATAATTTGGCATTTGTTCATTTCTTTATTCAATGAAAAGTAGGGCAGCGAAGCGGATGCCAAGAGTGAGTATTTACATTATTAAAATTTACTATTTCACGTCTTATTAAAAAGATAATTGAGTCTTATTGAAAGATACAAAAAGATGTGAAAGAGAGAATTTTTAATAAAGGATATTTACTAAAAAAGTTTGTGGGGGTTACCCAACTTTTGAGGACTTGAGGATATTAAGCATAATTTTTTTCTAAAATGAGAATGTAAACGGATACTTTTAAAATTAACAAATTAATATTTAGGCAAGGAACATAAGAATCGTACAATTTTTGAAAAAGTTTTGGCCAGTATTTCCTGTCAATTTCTTCATTGCCATCTTGTTAAAACTTTTATTATTTAATATAATTATTAGCTTATTTTTACAGCTTCGACTCAAAATTGATAAAGATTATGGGTTGGATAGACAATATAAAATTAGAGAAAAAGAAAGTCGAGACTTGTATATTGTTGCGAAAAGATGAAACACTTATGACAAAAAGATTTTTTCCCTCTATGATGGCTGTCAATAAACTCTACGTGGGCACAGCAAAACATCAATAATAAATATATGTGTATATAGACATAATATGTATATACATGAATATATGTATTAAAAAAGTATAAGCAAACAAAAAAAAGAAACACAAAACAATGAAATAGGGACAATTCATAGGCAAAACATAACCGACTCTCAAATTGGCAATCCGTTCAATAATAGATTTATTAAATTCCTCATAGCTAACCTCTCCAATGAAAGATACTAAGGTTAACCATATAATAATTAAGGCTGTCCAAATGGGGGCTGTCCAAGGATCTGTTTCTTGCCTTGAAGTAAGAAGTAGATCCTAACAGATACTGATGAAATTTTCGGAAAAAATTGAAAGAAGGGCACAAGATAATATTTGAAGTATAGGATAAATGAAAATAGATAAAAATTAATTTATTTAATGATATATACATTTTAATGATACAAATTAATAATCTACATACATATCTGTTTTTGAGGAATAAAAAATAGATAATATTTCTTGAAAAATAATTTAAAGAAATATATTAAAAATATATTTCCCTATATTTATTTTTATATTAAAAATAATCTCTTACAAAAAATTTAAATGAAATCACTTTTAACTTAAAAAACCTTTAATTTATACGTCTAGAAAAATTTAAAAATAACGTCATTTAAATTATAAAAAGAAAAATAAATGAAAACATTTTTGCAAAAATAAACTTGTTGGAATATGGAGAAATAAATTTAAACTTTTTTAAAAAATTTTTCTTTTTATTAAGACGAACAAGTAATCAATGAGAGATTGAGTATGAAGAGAGATATAAAAAATTTACTTGATTAAAGGAATTTTCTTTAAAAGATTTTTAATTAAAAATTAAATAAATTTGGTAAACAAAATAAATTTTTAATAAAAATAAAGTAATTAGTAGTACATATAAAAATCTTGAATGTTTGTGGTAGAGCTGTTTCGAAGGAGAGAAATCTTCGAAAATCTAAATTTTGAAACAGCTCTAGCTTGGGGTTATTGGAGAATTTAATTTATTATTTTAGAAATTAAACAGAAAATCGTTTCTTTGTAAATTAAAAATTTATTTAAAAAATATTTTTTGAACATGAAATCTTTCCATTTAGACTGAACTTTGATTGCCTTACAATTTTTTAAAAATACATATACTATGTATGTAGTTTGTTATTTATTAGACAAATATATATTTTTATTTTTCTCAATAATATTTTTATTTTTTAAAATTTAATGGTAAACAAATTATTAAATAAAAAAAAGAAAGAAAAGCTGCTTAATGAGCAAAACAACTCGCGCGTGGGCAAAGGACATTAAAAAGTAATTTAAAAACATTGAAGATGACATTATGATAAAAAAAATTTTAAAAAATTAATTAAATATTTAAAAATAAATATATTTATTTATGTAAAATATTTAATAAATCTGAAATATCAAAATTTATATTTTTTATAAAATATTAAAAATTAATTTATTATTGGTGATGATAAAATACAAAAATTGTTTGGAATGAAGGAATAAGTACAAACATAAATTAAACCAACAATTTCTGATTGTTTTTTAGATGAAAATTTTTTAAAGTTAAATTAATATAAGGTGATGAAGGGAATTTAAATGGGGGAAGAAGTGTTGGATAGTTAAAAAGCGAAAACAGAAATCCTGAAAATAAGAGAATAAGAAATAAGAAATCTGAAATAAAAATAAGAAATCTGAAAATTGAAAAAAAATACTTAGGGATTTTTATTAAATCTATTATTAAGTTTAATTTCAAATAAATGGTTGTAGCCTGAAAATTATTTTTAACATGAAATTCCATTCCTAATCAAAAATTCAAAAAGAGAGCTTAATAAATTGCTTGAAAGGAATAAAGAATTTAATCAAATTGTAGAAATCCTAATTTTTTACTAAAATATTTTTTGTTTTATTAATTTATTCAAAAATTTTTCAATGTAAAATATTAAATTTAAGAAATTTATTAATTAAAAAATATTAATTTAAATTTAACAAAATAAATTTTTAAATATAAATAATTATTTAATAATTAATTTAAATGTTCTAATCTCCATTGGTTTTAATGAAATAATTAAATTAGAATCATCATCTGTTAAATTAAAATTTTTAAATATTTAATGTTTAAAAATATACTTTGTTTTGTTTTATTGGTTTCAACAGAGCGATCGGCACCAAGAGTTAATTCCTCAGCAGTGATAACGTTAAAATGAGGGAGAAATAGTTTCTGAAATTTAATTATTTTTTTAAAAGAATTTAAGTAGAAATTTTATATTTAAAAAGTCGTTAAAAGTAAATTGTTGTATTTCCTCGATTAATTACCCTCCCTCCAATAATCATTCCCTCCAGCGAGAGGTTAAACAACAATTACCCAGGTTATCATTATATCCCCTCTCCCCCTCCAATTATTTTATCAATAAATATTTACTTTAAGGTCAATATGTTCCACAATATTTGAAGATATATTTGTTGCTTTTAATTCATTTTTTTGGTAAAAATGTTCTAGACGAATTAATACTTCATTTGTTTTATTACCAATTGGTGTTAATGTTAATATATTTATGGTTGGAGGTAATGAATTTGGTGAAATACCGGAAAACTAAGAAATTAATTATTTAATTAACTATTTTTTGGATAAACCTCAGTTCTGTAAAGTTCTCTATAACGGCTTATATTTCCTTTAATTAAATTATCTAAAGGAATAAATGCAATTGTTTGTGGAGCATTTTCCTCAAAAATATCAAAAGTTAAAGGTCTATGTTCTTCAACAGTTTTTTCATTAAGTAAAAGCCAATGTTTTCCCTGTACAATTAATCCTCTTCCATCCTCCCCAGGCTCATCCAAAGCCTCTTCAACACCCCAAGCATCGTCAAAAAAGCATCGACGATGAAGCTGAAATTGTTAAAAATTAAAATTATTCTCTAACAATTTACCATTAATTCAATCTGTCCATCATTTAAAGATGCTCCACCTTGGGAACGATCAGTAAGAATTGTCATACGATCAGAACTATCCTCTATCCAAATACGAGAATTGACTGGGAAATAATTTCCAGCTGCTGGTTCTGAGCCTTCGTAAAATCGTTCAGGATCATTACGCTTACGTTTAATCTAAAATATTTTGAAAGTTATTCAAAGTATTAAATAATTCTAACCATTTGACGACCATTTGCGTCAGTCCAAAAAACTTGAGAAGATTTAAATCCATCAATTGTATATTTAGTAATTACTTCAATTGACTCAAGCAGGCTAAAAAAATTTTTAAATCCAAAAGTTTAATTTAAATAAAAATTATTCTCAAACGTTTTATTTTTTGGTAAAGGGCCAATTTTCCATTGAAATTCAATAAATGGCTTATTTGGAAATAAACGAATTATTTGACTAATCCAAGGATTTATTGTTTGTCTAACTTCTTGTACTAACAAATTCTTAATAACTTGAATATTTTGGATAGGCCCTTCGAATGGGTGGGGCTCGCTTCCATTTGGACGGAAAATATAAGCGCCTGAAGCCTGAAAGATTAGAAAAATAAAAGATTTATTTTTAATGTTTAAGTAAAAATATATTAAATTTTGTTAAATTTTCATTACTGTTTCTTATTAAAAATATTTAAACTTATTAGTACCTGTTGATAATGTCCATCTAAATCTTTATTTCCCATTCCTTTATAATAAAAGAATTGTTGATTTAATTTAAATGTTTTATTAGAACGGCGAATGTCTTTTACTTCATTTAATAGTCCATCATTGTTAAATGATAGAGAAAATAACTAAAAATGATTTTTTAAATTTAAATTTAAATAAACAAACATTATTTTCAATTTCCACATTTCTATAATTATTTTTTAAATTTTGTTCACTTTTCTTTTGACGTTTTTTAATTTCTTTTTTATTCAAAATTTCTTCATTATTTATTTTTAAATTTGTATTTATTAACATAAAATAAGTTGAAAATCCAAGAGGGGGAATTTGTGCCTCAAAAAGTAATTCATAAGAAGAAATTGACTTGAATAAAAAGTATTAGTATGTAGGTATTTTTATTAACGCCCTTACTTCAGAATTATTTATTATTTGTTCATTTCCTCCCAAAAATGTTTTAATTATTTCAATATTTATTTCTTTTCCACCAGAATTAATTATTTTAATTTGTTCAGGTTTAATATTTAAAGGAATTCTAATAATTTTTTCAATTTGTCTAACACCTCCATTAAATAATATAATTGCTATATGTTGCTGATTAAGAGGAACATTACAAATACCTTTTTTAAAAAATAAATAAAATTATTTTCTCTAATAAAATGATTGATATTCTACATATTTTTCATGCCCTCGAAAATAGGGTTGGCGGATCCGGATACATATTTTTCATGCCCTCGAAAATAGGGTTGGCGGATCCGGATACATATTTTTCATGCCCTCGAAAATAGGGTTGGCGGATCCGGATACATATTTTTCATGCCCTCGAAAATAGGGTTGGCGGATCCGGATGATCCGATATCGCTTCGGATATCGGATCTTGATATCCGGTGAATGCGACAATCCTACTCTAAAATTGCCATCCAATTAGGAAGTCATTCAAATAAAGTCTCAATTGAGGGAATAACATGCAAAGTACATTACAATTATTTAAAAAATATCTACTTTGATTTAATTTCCGACAAAATATAAGAGAAGGTATATCCTGTTGTTGTGTTGAAAGTGAAGAAATTTGCCAAAAAGAATTATTAATTACTTTTTCAGCTTGATCCCAACCAGATAATAATCGTTTAATATAATCCCTTTTAAAAATAAATATATTTTTATTTATTTAATTTATTATTTACATTGTAACATTATGTTTACTAGTTCCAGTAATAGCATCATGATGTGTAGATAAAGCTAAAGCCCCTTCCAATTTTAGCAATAAAGGGAATGAGGGTTCACATTCATTAGAAGGGCAATAAAAGGGTTTTGATAATATTTTGGAAAAGGAGGCTAATTTTTGTGATAATTGAAGTAATGCCGATGAGAAACGAACAAGACCCTTTTAAAATTATTTAAAAAAATATTTTTTAGAATATACTTTAAATGCAGGCTTTGAAGTAAAATAACCAGTCCAATAAGAATGATTAGAACTTGCATAAGGAAAGAAATCTCCATTAATTTTTGAAGGGAAACTTTTTGTTAATAAATTAGATTCAATTAATTCCAAAGCTTTAGCATAACAACCCGGCGTTGAATAAAAAGCAAAAATCTTTTTTTAATTAATTTTATATAATTTTTAAAATAAAATTTAATTTTTACTCCAGTTTTATTTGTTCGAGAATTAATTGCCGAAATAAGTTTATCAAGTTGAGTAAACCATTGATTGGCATTTGAATACTAAAATTTAATATATATATTTTTGAATTTTTTCCTTCCAAAATTTAATACATGAAAATCTCCCCCCATAGTCATAAGTACATGTTTATGTAATTGTGTATTAACAGAATCATTAATATATTTAAAAAATTCTTCCAATCTTTTATCAACATTATAACCTTCAAATTGTTTATTATCAACTAAAGGTTCATCATCACATAAAGAATCAAAACAAAATTTATTAGGAGGGGCATAAGTGCCGCGGAGGAAGGCGCCAGTTAAAATTGAATTATCTGACTGTTTTTTAAATAAATTTAATTTAAAAATAAAATGTCTATGTAAATTTACATTAATTTCTTCTTCTTCATCCGAAGTAACTTTCCATCTAAATTCTAATTGTTTATTATCAGCTCTGTATTTCAATTCTTTATAATGTGTTCTAGCAAAAAACAAAGCTTTATTTCCCAACAATTTTGCAATATTTGAATGTTCTCTTGAATGCCCAAAAGGATCAATTTGCCAAGCAACCCTTGGTCTACCACACTTTCCATAAGTTGAATTTAAAAGTGCCAAACCAGTCGAATATTGGGAAATAATATCTATATAGTGAGTTGTTGCCTAATTTTTTAAATAAAAAATTATTTTCCCATAATCCTTCCTCTCTCCTCAACCTCATCTGGTTGTGTCCAACCCCCACCAATTATTTCCATTTGTCCACTTTCCACAATTAAATGCCGTAATTTTTCTTTTTGTTCATTATTATGATCTAAAAGCCATCGATGGAGAAAACCAGCCTCTGCATAGCAAAAACGTCTAGAGGCATCTTTAAGCAATTCGTCAATAACTGTGTTTAAAATATATTGAACACCAACAGGTACAAGTCTAGGACGAGCTTTAAAAGGATTTATCTGTCCAAGTATTTTAGAAAATAAATACCTCCAGTATAATAATCATCAACTGTTTTAATCCACCCCATATCATCGTGACTGTTAAAAATATTTTGAAGATATGGAAATTATTAAAAAAATAAAAAGATACGAATGTGGAACAAGATGAACATTAATTATATTTGGCGAGTTTGACCATTCTGGACAATTCTAAAATAAATATAGTTGGACTTCGAATGTAAATTTAATATCAGATATTTATTTATTGAAAATCCAATTTTTTAAATTTGTTTGGCCTATATAATCAAGGTCTCTATTTAACAACTTCCTTATAAGATAAAATTATTTTAGGCACACAATTATTTTACAATGGAGGTCCGATTACATTATTTAATTAGTATTAAATAATTAAAAGTAAAATTAAAAGAAAAACTTATATCCCAAGCACACTTCTCCGATTTAACATTGAAGAATAATAATAGTAAAATAAATAATAATATAGAAAACATTTTAATTATTCTTATTATTAATTATTAAAATTTAAATTATTTATAAATTTAGAAAAAAAATAAAATTTTATTCAAAAATAATATTTTTACTAGAAAAATATTCATAAAAATAAAATGATTTGGTAATTTATATTTATTGCCTTAGGTATTCTTTGCGACCTAGAAATTTTGTTAAACTTTAATTACAATTTTTAATTTTACTGTTACAAAATAAGTGGTTTTTGATGAAAATTAAATTAAAATAAAACATTTTTAGAGAGAAAAATTTTATTTTATATTTCAACGTGTCAGAGAACAAGTTTTCTTTGAATTTATTCCATTTAAATATTTGAATAAAAAAATTTTTTTACGATAATTGTCAAAATATTATAATATTAATAGAGAAACAAATATTTATGCCCATGATTTAAATATCTTATCTCAACTCCAAGATTGTTTTCCCTTAGTCAAATAAATTTTTCCTATCATCTTACCGCCCTTTCTAGTTGTCCCATCTCCCTTATCATTTTTCGTCTTAGATGCCTCAGGAAGTTCAGGGGCATTTTATAAATATCGGACCAGAATAATAAGTATATATACATATGTACATACAAAATATTTAAAATATGTAGTTCATTCGTTTTTTTTATTTGAATGTTGAAAAAAGTAAAGTGATATATTTATTTGTTTTAAAAATCAATTTAACCTCCGATCTTTATAAATAAATATTTTGTGTAAACGATAAATGAAAGAGATTTAATGAAGAATGGCTTTTGTTCTATTTTCTTTAATAAGATAAAGAAATATATAAAGCTTATAATTATCTTATAAATTTAAAATTTTTAAACTCAAATCACAAAGACTTGTCACAAGATATACTATCTTCACAAAATATACTATCTTCCTTATTAGTATCGTTGCCGTATTTATTTTAATTATTTATTTTTATATTATTGCTAAATAATTAAATTAGGTTAGGTGTAGATGAAAAAAGGTCCTTTATTGTGGGCATAACAACAATAATGCTTTTGACGTAAATTAGTATTGCGCCATTCTCATAACAGATTTTTTATAAATTTTTGGAAGAATTTTTAAAGTAAAATTTTACACAAAACACGAGTAGATTAATTCCACCGCATCTAAAACTAATTTGAAACCTCGCACCCCCAATATATTCACTCATACCCGTTCGGGGTTAATTAATTCTTGAATATATGTATGTAAATTTATCAAAGATTTATTAAACCCTTTTTTAAATGTATAATAAAATAATAAAGATTTATACTCGTCAAAGAAATGAATAAAATATATTATAGTGAGATAGAATTAGTGCCATTGTTTTTGCTATACTATAAATAGCTTTTACCAGATCGTTACATATAGATTAAAGAAAATATGGAATGAGGTGTTTGGTTGTATATATTGTACTCAAATTATTATACAATAAAAAATTTTTGCTCGATTAAATTAGAAAATTACTATATATTTTTAAGTAACTGAAATAAAAATTTTATTTAAATCTTTAAAAATTTATATATTTTATACATAATTCTCTTCCTAAAAGCAAAAATTTTAAACAAACACACAAACACAAAAAGTTTAAACAAAGAAAATCAGAGAGGAAAAAATACATTGAAAATATTTTTAAAAATTAAAAAAATCTTTAATACAAATTAATTTATCTAAGAGCAAAAGAAATATATAATAGACCAGTAAAAATATATATTTACGTAAAAACTTAAAATATAATAATATAATATATTCCCAATATATATATATCACAAAAAATATTTTCTAATTCTCGTATATGAAATAAATTTTTGGTACTTTTCGATTATACAACCTTTCCTTAAATTATTAAGTTCTTATAGGTGTACGATTATTTTATTGTCTTCATAGAAAAAATAAATTTTAAAAATTTTATATTAATTTAAGGGGGCATAATCGAAAAGTAACAAATTGTCTAGTTAAAAAATAAAATATATTTATATCAATCGCCGGTTACTGACAAAATTTAAAAATAATTAATAAACTCGTGTGTGGTCACAAATGTTGCGTTGTTTTCAACGGGAAAATAATTTTAAAGAAAGCAAAAAAGGAAACAATAAAATGATGAAATGAGTAAAATATATTGAAATAAAATTAAAAATGAATAAAATATAGAAGTTGAATAAAATTTTGGAAAATAAAAATGAAAAATAAAGAAAACTTACTTATTATTATTCAAATATATACTTAATTATTTTAAAGAATTGTGTTTGTATATTAAATATACATACATAAAAAACTCTCAAATTTCAAAGTTATTTCCTAAAAAAAGTATATATATTTTTTATATAAACTCAAAATATTTGAGTTACATATAATTATTAAAAATCCATTTCGGAAACAAAAAGAGGTGTGTGTTGTTTGGGATAAATATTTAATACAGAAAAAGGAAAAAAGGGACGGAAGTCAATTTTGAAAGAAAGAAAAAATGAGGAGAATATTTATTTATAAATATATATTTTTGGCTAAAATTTAATAATAAAAAATCTATTTATGTATATTTATTTATTTTTAATAAAAATCAAGCACTGCTAATTGTTGTAGCAGAAGAGGGAGTTGTTTTAGAAATTGTTGTGGTTGTTGTGGATGTTGGGGAAATAATAACATTTGAATGAAGAATTTTAGGGGAAGAAGAATTTTTATTTTCTTCTTCTTCTTCTTCCTTTTTCTCTCCTTCTTTTTTCAAATTTTCTTCAATTTTTATTTTTTTAGCTTTACATTCCCCTTCATTCTCTTCATCCTCTTCTTCATCCTCCTTCTCTTTTTCTTCTTTTTGTTCTTTAGATGTTGTCTCTGTCGGCTCTAATTTAATTTTCGAATCTTCTTTTGTTTTTATTCGGAAGAATTCTTGGAATAGAGAGCCTTCTGCCTGTTTTTTGTTAATTTTGTCTGGAGGGAATAAATCTGGAACTTTTTTGGTTACATCCTTTAACAAACTGAACGCTTCATCAAGCTTTAAAAAAGAAAAAATTAATTTTAATTCATTAAAAACCCAAATAAATTACCGTTTCATAAATAATTTTTGCCTCATCTGGACCATAAGCAGATTCAACATATCTACAAAAATATTTTTAAATTCAAACTTTCATATTTTATTCCAACCTTCTCAACAATTGTTTATGATTGTGGTAATGTTTATCGGCTAAAGTCCGGTCTTCAGCACTTAAATCAGTATCAGCATAATGACTGAACAATACAACAACAATAATCTAATTAATTAAATATTTTGATAGTTAGGGGACAAAAAATAATTAAATTACCAAATTATTAGCAACTTGATCTGATTTTAATTTTGGATGAAGTTTTTTGTAAAAACTTTAAAAGAAAATTATTTAATTAATTTAAAATTAATTAATTTACTCCATAACACGACTTTTTTGCATATCATCATTTAATCTATCAAAAATGTCAATTCTGCAACGAATATCCCTATTTAAAAGAGGACTTTTCCAACAACGATTTTCTGAATCCAAACGAGAAGCTCTACAGAAAGATTATTTTGATTTTAAATTTTGTTTAAAGTAAGTACCCTCTAAGTGTCAACAAATCAATCATTGCTGCTTTCAGAAGAGAAAATTTACCGCTGTTACTAAATTCCGCAAAAGACGGCAATTTCTTTGCCATTTTAACTAAACGTCTCATCATCCTTAAAGATAAGATAAAATTTAATTTTGCAACGATATAATATTTATATTTTGAGTTTTCAGTAGCTGTCCAGGGCTTTGAAATTTTAATTTTACTCGTACTTTGTAAGACCCCTATTTTTTTCTTTTACATTAGTCCAAAAGCAAGAGTATGATCTCGAATTTAGCACGATATTCAATTTCGAGTAACCCAAAGATAATCATAAAAAATTAGAAAATCTAATTTCTTATTTAAATATTTATGTAAATCCAGGAGTTTTTATTCGATTGTTTCATATTTTTATTTGTGCTTCGATAAAGGGAAAAATTGTTTCATTTCTTTATATAAATGGTCAACATACATATCCAACAAACACATCATGTCATCAGGACTTTGTGGTTGTTCTTTAGTCATTATCCCCAAAAGTTTGGAATTCTTTAAAAATTCGTTTTTCAATTCTTCATCCATACTAAGAAAAGAATTTTTAAAAATTTTTAGGTAAAAAATTACCTCGAAAACGCTGATTTAACATAATTTAAGTCATTTTGTTCTTTAGAATTTAATTGATAATTTCTCAAATCAGTATAAACTAAAGAAGAATTTCCACTTATAGAATTAGAACGGCTAAGGGGAGAACTTCTATCTTCAATTTTAATTGGATTTGGAGATAATGATTGTTGTAAATTATTTCCGTCTGGAGGCGAATTCGAAATACCCAATTCGTCTCTAATTGTTTTATTAATCCTCATACTCATTAAACGTTCACGTGTGTTTGCATCCATTTCCATTAAAGTTTTAACTTCATTGTTGTTTGTTCCATTATTTGTAGAAGTTAAGGATGATCCATTATTTGACACTTGATTATTGTTAACATTATTAGAAGCTAAAAAAATGAAATTTTTAAATATAATTTCATATTTATTTTACCATTTTTAGCAGCAGCTACAGCGGCAGCTGCAGCTTCCACCAAATTTTTTGGAATTGCTGAGGAATTTGTATTGGAATTAAATCCAGATAAATTAGAAGATATATTTGTGTTTGTAACATTATTGTTTCCATAAAGTCTAGCCAATATTGAAGCAGAATGTCCATTTCCAATATCTCCATTTTTAACTATTTGTGGACTAACAATTCCTTGCTGTTGTTGACCTAACAACATTAATCTTTGACATTGTTCAACAAATGGAGAGACTGCAGCAACAGGAGATTGTTGATTTTGTTGTTGTTGTAGCTGTTGCTGTTGTTGAGCTGCAGCAGCAGATGCCAGAGAAATTAAACCATCACTAGATTTTCTTAAAACGGCAGCAGCTTGTTGAAGCTGCGCTTTTTTCAATAATTGTTGTTGGGCTAAACGCAAAACTTGTGGATCATATCTTTGTTCGACATCTATAGGATGAGGATTTTGAAGTTGAGGCAAAATGGAAGGAGGTGAATGAGTTCCAGTACTTGGAGAAGCCTGCAAAAATATTAGAAGTTAATAACTTCTTAGTTTAATTACTAAAAATATTTTTAGTGTTAAAATAGTATCAGCTACTATTTCCTATATTTAATACATATTTACTTTATTATCCAGAGATACTCCTCCACAAGCAAACAAATTTTGTTTTCCACCATAATCGGGACTGTTGCCCAAACCAAATGTTGCCAAAGGACTTGAATCCAATCCACTCGACAGAACAGAAGAAGCACCCGTAGGAGAATTTTTTGGTGATCCCGCCAGTTTTGTAATAGCCGCAGCGGCTGCAAGCAAGGGAGAATTCAGGGGAGAATGTGATTGGCCTTGAGTTTGATTGTGAAGTATACTAGCTGCTGCCATTGCAGCAACAGCATTAATTGAAGATTGTGGAGGTGGGGGTGTTTGTTGTTGTTGTTGTTGAGTATGATGGAAAAACTGAAAAAAACAAAAATAATTAATAAAAAATGATTGAGAAAATTACTTGTTGTTGTGGAGGAGAGAAGGGATTTAGCCCTCCATTTCCATTCCCAACGTATGGAGTGACTGGAGCAACAGAACCAGGCATAGAACCTTCCCCAACACTTGAAGGGGTATTTGGTTGTTGATTTCCGTCTTTACCCATTTGATTTTTAACACGAGCATTTTTCCGTCTTCTTAACTGATCTTCACTTAAAATCCATTCTTTTTTCATTCCAACCATAAAACATTTGCGAAGACGACATTTTTGACAAAATCTGAAGGATTTAACATTTTTAACGGAAAATAATCCTCTTCTTCACCTTCTACTAACAGCATTAATTTCACAATCATTAGAATATGGGCATTTAAACTCTTTTGGACGCAAAGCATTTCGCCGGAAAAATGCTTTACAAGATTCACAACTAAATAATAAATAATTTAATCCAAAAACTTCTCAAATCACACAAATACCTAATAACATTAAAATTATATCCAGTAGCAGAATCCCCACAAACTCTACAAGTTTTCATTCTTCCAGCAGCTCCATTCCCATCCTGACAATTTCCATCATCCTCCATAGGTTGATTCTGTGTTTCCATTATTTGATATTGTTGCTGTTGTAATTGTTGCTGTTGTTGTTGCTGTCTTTCAAGCAAAGAAGGTGGAGATTGGCCTTGGCATATTGGAGTTTTTGGCCCTCCAATATTTCCCCCATTCCCACCCATTGAGGCAATCATCATTGCAATATTTGCAGATGCAGTAGAAGAATTTAGTTGTTGGGGGTGATTATTGTTATTAGATGATGATTCTTCTTCAGTGTTTCCCTCCTGAAGAAAAATTATTTTTTAAAATTTTTAAATTTAAAATTAAAAGTTTTTTATATCGAATGTGTTGAAAATGTGTTTTAATATATTTTTATTTAAAAATAAAAATATGATATAAAATCAAAATATTCATAATGCTTATATTTTTAACATAAAGAGAGAAAATATTTAAAGATATGTTGCTATTAAATGTTTTGCTTTAAATATATAAAAATGTTTTTAACAAGTTTAATATCTCTAAAAGGAGGTGTTCTCTTCTCAATTTAGAAAATGTGTTTGTGTACTTTTATTTATTTTAATATATTTTTATTTCCTTTCTTGATTAAGGAGAAAAGAATTGTTTTTTTAAAGAATTTTAAACATATGAACGGAAAATAAATAGAAAAAAATGTTGCAGATACGTGTAAAGATTAGATGATAGAGGGGGAGAAAAAAGTGATTATTTATATATTATTTAATTAATTGATAATTTTATTGTTTTATTAGAATTAAATGTTTAATTAATTAAATAATGAGGAACATCTCCAGAAATTATTGTGTTTTGATTTAATAAAATGTTTTTTAAATTAATAATTTTATTTATCAAAATTAAAAAATAGAAAACAAAAGGAAGAGAGAAATAAATCTTAGAGGAAATAAGGCGGTAAAAGATAAAAGAAAATTTAATTTACTTTAATAAAGAGGTGGCACTTCCTTTTTGAGTAAAAAAATAAATGTTTATTTGATTATGTAAACATATCACTATGGAGGAGAATTAAAGGGGGGACGGCACTGTTAAAAACCTCTCTATCTATTATAGCTATTCATCCCCTCTAAAATGGATATATAGAGAGAAGTGAGGGATATAGAAAATTAAAAGGGAAAAAAGATAAGGTAATTGTGAAGAGACAGTCTTTATTTAAATAGAGAAACAGTCTGATTAGAGAAAAAGAGGATATTATTTGCTTTGTTGGCTTTTAAAGGGAGTGAAGGGGGGATTGATAGCAGATTTTGGGCAATTTAGAATGGAAATCGACGAAAAGGCAAGGCAAAAAGTTTTGGGGAAGGGATGTGGAAAAAATAAATTAGAGAATTTAAATGATGGTTATGCTTAAATAAAAATATGAACGATAAAAAGTAAAATCCGTAAGCGGTTTAGGGGCAAATGCGCAAACAGTAGATGAAAGGAGAGAAAACTTACGGAGAGAGTTAAATGAATAAAAATAAATAAAAAAAGGTTCGGGATTCATTTATAGAATATTTCTAGAGAATGAAGTAAAAAAAGGTGAATAAACAGAAAATAGGTTTATCACTTAATATTATATATTAATTAGTTTTTAGAAGTTTTTTAAGGTTTTTTCTGTTTAATAATTAATTTATCTGGAAAACAAAAAAATAAAAAAAATCTTTTAATTGAAGGGAAGACTTAATAAATTAATTAAAAAGATTTAATTAATAATTTAAATGAGGGAGGGGTGGAAATAATTCAGACAAGTCAGCGATGTAAGAAAATGGACTAGATGTTGAGAAGGCCACGACAAATTGTCTAGAAAGTCTGAAAAAATACTTGAAAAAACTTTAAAAAATTTGCTTTTTAACAGACTAGGACATGGATACGGATATGGATACAGATATTATAAAAATGCCTGCGGATATCCGCCTGTATCCGCCGTAAATATCCGGATACGGATACCAAAATCAGTATCCGTGTGCTAGTCTGCTTTTTAATGGTAGGAAGATAAAAATATGTTAATTAATAATGAGAAAATAACAAAAAACATTAGTGGAATCATTATAAGATTTAGATACAAAACAATATGGCAAATCTTTCAATTTCCAAAAGAAAATCTAACTTTCAATTCAAACAAAAGTTAAAGTCTCGACAATTAACACTTATCCCACTCCTTAAAATTAATTAATTGAATAAAGAGGAGAAACACAAGGAAATCATATGCCTATTATTTGCCAGCTTTGACTATGTTTTTTAAGGCAAATTGATTAAAGATGATTGGCGGCATTTGCCTTTTATCTATTTTAAATAAGATGTCTGAATTAAAAAAATAATTGCGAAATAATGAGAAAATTTAAAATGTTAAAATAGAAAAAGTCGGGGAAAAAATTAAAAATTTTAAAAGTCTCCAATAAATAAAAGTCTCTAATACATCACTAATAATTAAAGCCTTGTTTATATTGTAAAAAATATATGTAGCTATTTAATTTTGGAACTATGAATGAAGCAGCGTGGTACAATGGATAAACACAGCGGTCAGGACAACTGAGATGATGGTTAGCTCCCACTGTCAAAATTACCTTCTACATTAGCTGAAGAAAGGCTATAGCAAGAAAAAATGAAGAAAACATGACTATATATGCCAAAAAGAAGGAATTTACTTCAAATTGTTCTTCTTACTTAAAATATTTTAATTTCAAATTTTTGATAAATGAAATAAATGTATTATTTAAAAATTAAACAAAGCTTTCTATAATAAATGAGATAAATTTAGAAATTACTTTTTTGGGATAATGCCAAAAATGAGAGAATTAACTTCAAATTGTTCTTCTTACTTTTTAACATTAAAAAGGAAATATTGCGTATAAATGCACCCAAATGATAAAAAAAGTTTTTATTTATTTTTTTTTTAAATAAAAAAGTTAAAATGTGAATAGGTGAAGAAAAAAGAATAAAAAGATGAGGGGAAAAATAAATAAAAATGAGGGGAAAGGGGAGAGAGAGAATAATAGAGGGGGAAAGGAAAAAAGAAAATATTATTTGCCAGGCTTTTAATGCCACGTGGATTCAAACACTCAATTACTCGTTTAAAGACTTCTAAACACGGATGCTTCTATAAGGACTGTCAGACTTTGATTTTTGAAAGTCTGAAAATAAGAATTAAAACGTTCAAGTTGAAAGAAAAAAAAGATTTGGAGATGTCAAATAATGAGGGATATAAAATTAAAAATTGTTGAAGGATCAAGAAATTAATTAATTAATTATTAATATCAAAATTATTAATTATAAATAAAATAAAACTAAAATAAAACTTAATTTTTAACACGTGAAAATTAACTATATTAAAGTATTTATTTTTATATTAAAGTTAGTAACATTTGATATAAAAACTGAAAAGAATTAGAAAAGAACAAAAAAAGAATATAAAATAAATGTAATAAATACTTCTTAATTTCTTTTAAAAAAAATCCAAATTTAGCAACAAATATTTTATAGTTTGCCAAGTTTTTGTAAATATAAAAACTTAATAAAAAGACATATTTAATATACAACAAAGGAAAAAACTTGAGATATAGAAATTTCTAAAAATAAAAAATTAAAAAAATTTTTAATGAATGATTAGTTAGAGGAAGGGGAGAGGGGAGGGGGGGGGGAGAAATAGATTGATTGATTGATCAAAAATATGTGGAAGGAGAAAATGATTGGAAGAGATTCATGTGCCTTTAATTATATATTGTTCCAAAATAGAATGTTTAATAGAGGATAAGGGGAAATAAGTTTAATAAAAAAAGATCTAAAGAATTTTTTTACATTTTTAAGGAACAAAGGAAATATATTTAAAAAATTAATTGAAACAACCCCGACCAGAACCCCGATTGCTCTACTCCGAGAAACCCTGATCTCTGACATTCCTGTCCCGAAGGGTCGAGTTGCTACAATAATTTTAATTAAGAAATGCTTAATAATTACTCGATTTCACAAGGTAAATCAGAATTATTAAAATATAGATATTAGGGAAGTACATATAATTAAATAGAAGCAATTCATTAAAAGAAAAGTCTAGAAAATAATTAATAAAAAAATAATTTGAAATAAAATTTTGAATCAAAAAATTGTATTTATTAATGTTTTATTAAAAATTAATTGAAAACGAAACAATTAGAAAATACAAATAGATAAATCTTTTTAATCTTGTATAGTTTTAATGATGTGAAATTTAAATACAAATTAAAATAATTAACAAAGAATAATTAATTCTTTACAGACAATTTAAAAATTATTGTAGTGAAAAATTAATAAGACATTTAAAAAAAGTTTAATAAAAAGTACTTTAAAAAGATTTTAATTTTTTTTTCTAAAATTGAGGGTGGTAGAAAAATTATTTTATTATTTTTTTAAATGTAAATTTGATATAATTCAAAGAAATAAATTTTTTTGAATAAAATAAATGCATAAAAATATTACCAAAAATAGAAATTAAAAAAAGTATTTAAAATCAAAATTTGTATTTTTAAATTTTTGCCAAAATTATTTTAAGATTGAAGGAAGATTTTTAAAAGAATTGGACACAACTGGTTTCGAATCCGAAATTTTTGATATTTTTGCCGAGAATTAGCAGTTTATATGAAATTTTAAAACCAAAAACTGAAGAATGACTCCCACAAATAAAACAGGTATTTGGCTGAAACTAACGAGTAAAAACCGAGTTTGGTACCGGTTAATAGCCATTTTGTTCAACCTAAAGTTTTAATTTAAGAAATTTTGGCAAAATCATAATTATAAGTTGATCGAAAGAATAAGGAATTAAAAAGAGATTCTGAGACTTAAAATATATAAATATAATTTTGAAATAATTAAAATTTAGAAAAAAAAGAAAGGAAATAAAATTAGGTAAGTATGTATATACTAAAAATAATTTTAAAATAATTAAATTTAATTGTAATGTGTAGTAATTGAAATAATGTATCAAAAATTGTTTTAATGTTCCCATGGCAAAAAATATTTAATTTAAATTTAAAGGCTAGTTAAATTTAAAATTAAATAAAAAGTTGGCTTTTTTATAAATAAATTTTTGATTTTAAATATTTGAGGAATTAATGAGAATTTAATTAAAGAAAAATAACTTGAAAGAACTAAAATAAAATTAATAAAAATTTAAATAAAAATTTGCTAAAAATAAATTAATAAATATAAAATAAAGTTTTAGTACTTAGAAAAAAATTTTTTGCAAAAGACTTTAATAAAATAAAATCAAAACAGTTAAGTAAATAAATAGATATTAATTTAATTTAAAAGTTTTAGAGAAATAAATTAAAAGCTAAAATTGGAAAAATAAAATGATTGTTTAGATAAGAATATAAAAAAGTATGTGGATGTACTTTAAAAGAAAAGATTTTTTAAATATTCGTTAAGTTTATGTTTTAAAAATATATTGCCAAATATATTTTAATTTAAAAATAAAAATTATTTCTTGGCATTCTAAATAAATAAAGTTAATTTATAAATTAAAAATTAGGCATGTTTAATAAGAAATATATTTCAAATAATGGTTATTTAACATTTTCTTCAAAAATGTTAAAAAATAATTAACTATAAATTAATTTAAAAAATGTCATAATTTTATTTAAAATAAATAGCTAATTAATTAACAAAAATTATTTTTATAGTAATTAATTAAAATTAGAGCTCGACCCCGGGCCGGGCCCGGGACCGGGTTTTCCGGGCCCGGTAGCCCGGAAACCGGGTATTTTGATAAAATCCGGTTTTTCCGGTTTTCCGGGTTTTCGAGGTTTTTAGCCCGGAAGCCCGGCCCGGGTCGCATCTGAAAAACCCGGGCCCGGCCCGGGTCCAATTTCGAGTAAATTTTGTAAAATACTCCGACTTTTTGGTCAATTCTTGCTCCTTAAACATCCAAAAATTGAAAAATTTTCGCCTGCGGCGCTAGACAATATCTCTTACTTCTTTCAAACAACCGATATGCCTCTTATCGGTAATGGTGAAGAATTGGAGAAAACCTTAAAATTATTTTTTCCTGAAAATAATTTAATGTACCATGCTGATCATGAATCTGATATCATATTTTGTCTGATATGACATCTATCTATGATTTTTTGCACACTACATTTTTATATAATACTTGAATTTTAAAAATGTAGCTTTTATTACTTTTTTAATATTCTTCCTATAGAACACTATTCTGGTGTACGGAATTTTTGACACTGGACCCCTATATTCCCTATAATACAAAAGTATATTAGGGGACTCTCATTCTGCCGCCATGTATGTGAATCTATGCGCAAACCCATCCACAAGGTGGTTATCCCCCTTTATCCCGCAAACAAAGTAAATCCCCGATATCCACCTTAATCCTCCAAATCCACATTAACCCCATCAATCCCCTGATTAAATAATTAAGAGAGGGATATTGAGGAGTTAGGTGTAATCGAGGACTATCTAATCACTGTAAATTCCTATTAATCTCTCCAGATGCTACCAAATTTCCCCTAATCAGTTAAATTTACATTAATCCTTCTACTAATCCACACTAAATCTTTTGAATAAACAAGTATAGATTAAAGATGACACCAAATTTTAATTATTTTTTACTCAAAATAAGAAAAATTTCAGCGAAAAAGCTAAAATTTGATAATTTTTAAAATTTTGAAAAAACCGGGTCCGGGCCCGGGTGTAAAAAAACCGGGTTTTCGAGTTTTCCGGGTTTTCGAGGTTTTAGCCCGGAAAACCCGGCCCGGGTCAACAAGGAAGAAAAAAACCCGGATACCGGGCCCGGCAAAGTGAAAATGTCGAGCTCTAATTAAAATATAAAAATGTTTCTCTTTTTTTTCTAATTTAACATTTAAAAAAAGATTTTTTAAAAAAGAATAATTAATTATAAAGGTAAAACATGCAATTTATTTGTTGAGGTAAATTAATAAAATAATTATATTAAAATGTCAACAAAAACAGAAAAATATTAAAAATAAAAGTTTAATAAAAAAAGAAAAAAAAAAAAATCTAAAAATAAATATTAAATAATTATTAAAAATTTAAACCAAAAATTAAATAAAAAAATATTTTTCTAAGAAAAAACTTTATAAAAAATATAAAAAAATAAAACAATGAAAACAGAAAAGCCAAATAATCTAAACTAAAATATATATTATTTTAAGAATTTTATAAAAAAATAATTTTAGTAAAAATATTATTATTATTAAATACCAGAAGAAAATTATATTAAGAAAATAATTAAAAGAAATGTTAATTTAGTAGAATAATAATAAGTAGCAACAAAGTTCGGATAATGTAACATTAAAAAATATAACTAACAATAAGTAGGGTTGGGCCCGAACGCTCGGGGTGGTTGTGTCGGGGTAAGGAGTTTTCGAATTGTTTCGGGCGGAGTCAGTGAGCAAAATTCTGTCGGGAATGGGGTCGTGGCGCAACTCTAACAATAAGTTGGAACTTAATTTTTAGATAATGGTCTTTTTATCTCTTTTAAATATTTTCTTTAAATAGAAAATTAAAATCTTTGTAAAATTACCAAATATTTTATATCAAAATTATTTTAGTTGACAATTTTAATTTATTTTTGTTAATTTAATCAAAAAATAATTTCTTTTTTTAATCAAAAAATTGTCTGAAACAGGAATTCTTAAATTTAATTTAAAATAATTTTTGCACCAAAAATTGTATTGAGCCAAAAAGGTTGTAAAACAATTAAATATATAAATTAAATTTAAAAAATTTTTTGTTTATTTTTAATTAATATAAAAATAGATATAAAGAAAACGTCATTTGTTAAAAAAAATTTTTGGAAATTTTTAAAAATTATTTTAGAAATTTATTCTTTAAATATTTTTTTAATTAAAAAATTAACGGAAATAATTAATTTAAAAAAAAAATATTTAAATATTAAATTAAATAAAAGTAACATTTTAAGACATGGAAACGTTAAGTTAAAAAAGAAAAGAAAAAAATTGAAATAAATCCCCCTCTTAATTAAAAAGGAAGTGTAGAAAAAGGAGATAAAATAAAGAAAAAAAATATAAAAAATGTAAAGCCCAAAAAAGGAAACAAAAAGTAAAAAAAGAAAAGAAAGGCCAAAGATTAGTTTAAAACGTAGAAGATTTGGTTATTGTTTATTTATGTAAGTTTTTGGGAATTCTTCCAATTTGTGAAAACCAAAAAAAGGAATGGAAGTAAAGGTCTAAAAAAATATTTTTTAGAAGTTTTTTTATAAATTAGAAAAGTAAAGGATTTAAAAACAAGCAAAGGCATAAAAAGGAGATATGTATGTATGTATACCGTATATCCTTTAATAATTACCCTGGGTAATTATTGTTTCGACCTTCCGTTGGAGGGATAATTAATTAAGAAAGGGCAATTATATGAGGTTTGAAATTTGAACGTGTTTTAGGACAATTGATGGGGGGAATTATTGTTTCGATCTATCGCTGGAGGGGAAAAATTTTTAAAAAAAATTAATGATAAAAAAATAATTAAAAAATAACATAATTTAACATTTTCCAAGAATTTTTTTGAAGGAATTAGAGGATGAATAAAATAAATATATTTATTCTTCAAAGATGAGTAAAAAACATCTTTTTTTCTTAAAAAAGATGTGAATAATAATGGCAACAATGACAAGAAAAAAATAAGAATTAGATGACGGATGTTGAAAAGGGGAGGGAGAGAATAAATGTGAAGGGAAGAGGGGGGTCTGGAATACCAAAATTGGCTTAGAAAAAAACAAAGAAAAGGTTGAGGAGATGAATTAAAAAGACTAAAAAAGAGGAAGGAAAAATTTTTTAATAAAAAGCTTTGCAAGGCGGCGGAAACGGAAATATATAAGGAGAAATTGGAGAAGAATTTTTAAGCTTAATTTCAATTTTCTCTCAGACCCACATGTCTAAATTTAAATATTTTGTTAAAAATAGATTACGTTCTTTGTTAAAAAGAAGATAACTTTAAATATGTAAATATATTTCCAGAGAAATAAAAAAAGGAAATAAATATATGTAGAGGTATTTTTGGCTTTGGCCAAAAACCAAAAAAAGAAGAGAAAAAAGAACCTTTAAATATAAAATTTAAAGTAAAAATCCTATAATTAAATCCAAAAAAGGAAAAAAACGTAATAACGTGAAAGTTGATAAAAAATAAAGGAGATATATATTTATATATATATTTATTTATGCTAAATTTAGAAAATAATAGATAGTTTCTTTGTTTCAATTATATTTTACTTTGTTGATAAAATATCAAACAAATTAAAAAATAATTGAAAGTTTAATAAAAATTATTCATCGAAGGGTCTTTAAATTAGTTTAAAAGTCTCAGCAACCGTTTATATCTAGCTTTTTTAGTAAATGAAGGATTAGAAAGAAATTCAATAAATAGTATAAAGAATATTGAGGAAAGTTTAGATTTTGTTCACATATTTGATGGGAAATTCAAAAATAAGTCCATAAAATAAAGTAGAAAAGGAAGATTTGATTAATATGTTAATTTATCTGGTTGAGATAATAAAAGAGACAAACTCTTGATACAAAAATACAGTCTAGTCAAAAATAGAAATTCTAAAAATAAATTTATTTTATACCTAAATACAAAAATTAATTTAAAATATATACATTTCTATTTTAAATTATTTAAATACAAAAATAGAAATTAACATTTTATTATTTTTTAAAATAGATATTTATTTAAATAAAGATAACTTAAAAGGAAATTTTTTGAAATGTTTCTTTTAAGGAAAGAAAATTTTTTGTAAATACAAATTAGTAGAGATTTTTGAATAAAAATAGAAGTTAATAATTAAAATATTCTTTTTTTAGAATTAATAATTAAATATATTTTTTGGAAATAAAATTTATATATATTATTAAATTAAGCCACTAAAACTATAAAAATAGAGCTACGGTAAAAATGGGAGAAGCCATGAAAATTTAATTTTAAGAAAATGTCACCAACCGTTTTAAGCAAAACACTGTTACAAAGCTGCTCATTTGCAGGAGTTAAAGGTTGTTGAACTGAAAAAGGACCCAAACTGCAAGGAGAATCAACCATTTTCTCGATAACAGATACACAACTACTATTCTCCCCATACATTGTTGTATTCCTTCTATGTAATGTTTTCCCAGCAAGTTCTTCTTTCGGTCTTCGTCGTCGAATACGGCGAACGTTTTGTGATTGTTGTTCATTTTTTGTTGCTGAAAATACTGAAAATTTAGTAAAATAAAAATAAATTTTTCTGGAATAATTTAAAACAAAAAGTCATTGAAAACAGGAAAAAATTTTGACTAAAATGCCAAAAAAATTAGGTCTAAGTTTAATTTTAAATGAAACAGAAAATCCAAATAAAAATTATAAACTAAAAAAATAATAACCAGTATCAATTGAATTTATTTGCGCCTCATCTTGCTGTTGATTTTGACTGCCAACTGAAGATGAGGAAGAAGCAACACAATTAGAAGTATCCATTCCAATAGGATTGAATACTGAGGTATTTGCGGAGCATTCTCCGTTATTAGTTGCTTGTAATACATTTGTAGCAGCTGCAGCAATAGCAGACAATTGTTCGAGGGTAGGGGCACCAACAAAGGAAGTGGAGGCATCTGTAGAAGGATTTGCTAATGTCTGTTCAACAGCTGTGGAGAGAGGAGGGAGTGGGGCTAAAAATAATTTATTCAAAAATTAATGTTTAAATTTTGAGAAATTTTAAAGATTTCCCTCTAAAAGATTTAATAATAAAATCATTATTTTGTATACCTTGTCCTTCCTGAATTTGCTGTTGGGCCTGTTTCTCTTGAAAAAGAATAGACGCAGGTGAATTTAAATGAACTGCTTGTTGTTGTTGTTGTTGATGTTTTGCTAAGGCCATAGCAGCGGCCGTTAATTGTTGCTGCTGAGAAGGAGGAAAAGGAAGTGGAGGAATTAACGGTTGTTGACTGGCAGCAAAAGTATCCATTATTTGGGCCATCTGAGCAGCATTGCTATATGCCGCAGCCTGATCTTGGAAACGTTTGGCTAGCTCAGAAAAGTTTGTTGGTGCAGGTTGTTGTGGCTGCATTTGATGGATCTTTAAATGTTAATTATTTTTCTCGATTAATTACTACCCCTCTAAATTACTTCTCTTATAATCACTCCCTCCAAAGGGTATAATGCAAATACTCCTAATTGCCATCAAATTAACTTCACTCCCTATACCTTTTTTGTAAATTAATCTGTCGAGCGAATAATTGAAAAATAATAACCAGGGTACTTAATAAAGGTTAATTAGTTAAGACAAGATTTTAAACAATTTGCCAAAAATTGTTTAAATTTTCTGGTTATTTACTAAAAATTTTTAACGAGATTTAAATCGAATAAGAATACATTATGAAAACCACCTGAGGTATTTCAGTTGATCCATTTGGACAAGTAAGCCCTAAAGAGCTATTTCTCAACAATGACAAATGATCCAGATGGGCAAGCGCCACCGCTGCAGGAGAGCCTGGTCCAAAAGGCACGGCAGAAGAAGAAGAAGAATTGGCAGGGGAATTAGCAACAGCAAAAGCCGCAACAGCAGCAGCGGCAGAAATAGCAGAATTTGATGGTTGTGGTTGTTGAGCAGCAGCTACAGCAGCAACTTGTTGTTGCAGACAACGAGCAAATGCTGAGCCGCCAGGTGAAGGAATGGAAGAAGAATATAAAGCAGCAAGTTGAGCTTGGACAGCAGCAGCTGGAGAAAAGGGATTACATAATTGTGCTGCAGTAGAAGAACTATTTGTTGTTGTCATAGATAAAAGTTCTGGAGGGGAATTTGAAGCAGAAGTTGAATTAGTAGCAACATTTAATGCCGCAGCCAAAAGCGCGGCTGCTGAAGAGCCGTTCCCGCCATTATTAGCGGAGGATGGCGAACCTAATTGTTGAAAATCGGTGTTGATCATACAAAGAGACTGATGAAAATAATTTTCAGAAGGGGAAAAAGGAAAGAATGAAGAAGGTGGCGGTGTTGGCTGTGGAGACGACAGCGGGGCAGATTTTTGTTTGTAAAGGAGTTTGCTTGCCTGTGTAAATAAAGAAGAAGAATATAAATAATTTTTAAAGGTTCTTGGATATATTCTGAAATTTTGAGATTTTAAGTAAAAGATTTAAGAGAGCGAAAATCGAATTTTAAAAATATTAGATTCTCCTTATTTTGAATTTTAAAATTATTTTTAAGGGAATTTAGAAAATAATTTTTCCTTGATTAATATTATCTATTTATTTATATTAATCACAATCTACTATATATTAAATAATTTAAATAAGAATTTTTAGTTTAAAGTAGGGAATAGAAAAAAAAGAATTTTTAAAATAAAAATGAATTTCAAAATTCTGTGTACTATCAACTAACTACTTTGCTTGTTTAAACTTTCCATTAAAATTCAGAAAAAAGGAAAAGTACAATGTGTATATAAAAATAATTATTTTATCTGATATAAAAAATTACTGTTCCCAATCTATATTTATATTTTTTTGTAAAAAATATAAAATAAAATTAATTTTATATTGCTGGTCCCATTCAAGGGGTACAAAAAAGACTTTAGACAATTACTGGCCGTATCTGAAAATAATGCTGCAATCACATTTTTTCCTTCATTTTTTCCTTTCCATATTTTTCCTTATTTTGTACAGAAAGGTCAGACTTTTTCCCTCGTTCACTTTAAATGAATTTCCCTGTGGCATGTTCAAATGTAATTATAGAGAAAAGATTAAAAGCAAAAAAATAAAAAATATTACATTTTTGTGTTGTCTGACAGAAAACACGGACAGACAAAACACGGACGGCTCGGACAGACAAAACAAAAACGGACTCGGACAGACAAAACACGGACCGTCCGTGTTTTGTCAGGACGGACCCGGACAGACAAAACACGCACACACATCGATCAGCTAAAACACGGTCAGAAAAAACGTAAATGCTCACAAAATGAAAGAAAAATAATCCTTTTACGTTTATAGTCTTAAGGCAAAAATCAAAAATAGAGAGAAAAATATAAGAAAATTAACCATTTTTAAGAATAAGGAAAAAATTTGATTGCAGCATTATTTTCAGATACGGCCCAATTACTTATCTAGAAAAAGTTAATATTTTATTTTATCAAATAATACAAATTATGTACTTTAAAATATAAGATATTTATCATTTAGAAACAAAAAATTAATTTTTCGCTCTCTTAAATCTTTACCTTATTTAAAAAATATTAAAAATATTTTTAATTAAAAATTAATATATTTTAAATATATATCCTCCCTCCTATCTATTCATCGAGATCAGAAATGTGTTCGAAAAGGAGTTCAGAATTTTTTAACTAATTTATATAAATATATATCAGGGATACAAAGAAACTCCTCCGCTTGTCGTCAGTTTCTTTCGCCTTTCGCTTTTTAAAATACGTCAAGACCATCCCTGATACATATTTAGGGAGCCTTCCAAGGCCGAAAAAAATCCAAGAAAAGTCTTGAGTCAAGACCTAAGACCAAGAGTTAGAAGGCTCTAATATTTAAATCACCAAACTATATATTTAAAAACCATTCTTCAATTATTATTACCTTTTTTACAATCAATTTAATTTATTTTATCGTTGTTTATAAATTATTATTTAGTCTCTCATTAGTGCATATACAGCACATTTTTGTTTTTATTTATTTAAACAATTTTTGAGGTCGTTTTGCTGATAAAAATTGTTTTTTTTAAATTTTTTGAAAGAAATAAATTAAAAAAATAAAAAGAGGTGAATATATTTAATTAATTGTGAGGAATAATTAAAAATTAATTAAATAGAGAGAGAGAGGTTGCTGTTGTTGTTGTTTAGAGTAGTTTGTTAAAAATATTTTTTAATTTTGTTGTTTTATTTATTTGAATTTTGAGTAATTTTGCGTAAAGAAATTTGTAAGTAGAAATAACGCCAAATGCTCAAAAATCAAAAAAATCTGAAAAAAATTGAAAATTAATTTTAAAATTTAAAAATATATATTTTAAACGGTGATATTAAACACAATAAAGAATAATTAAATAATATATATCTGAGAAATCAAAGTTTAATTTTCTAAAAATTAAATAAAAGAAATAAAAATAAGGAAATAAATCTTTTAAAAAATTGCCAACAAAAATAAACAAAACAAACAATTATTTTTCATTTAAAAGAATAATATATTTGCATTTTAATATTTTTATTTATTTTTTATAAAAAAATTGTTTTAGAATTTAAATAGAAAATTTGAAAAAGCTTAGAAATAGCCAAAAATATAGTATGTAGTTCTTTGTAGGGGGGGGGGGGAGTAAAAGAGAAGTTTTTAGATTATATGTAAGTTAATTGTTAAAATGCGAGGGAGAAAAAATAAAAATGAGCTGAACATGTGAAAATAAATAATTAAAGAAAAATAATTTTTAGAAGCTTTATATAAATGTTCCGCGAATTGAAAATGAACGTTCTTATTTTTGATAGTTAAGAAAAAATTTCAATTCTTGCCTCTGGCGCAGAAAAAATAAAAGAGAGGGAATTAAAAAAATTAGAGAGATTTGAAAAAAGAGAAAGTTTTTTTCACTTCTTTTTAATTCTTTTTAATTTTTTGTTGCGCGGCTGTCGCCATTTTTGGTCTTTTTTTGCTCTATTCAATGCTCGAATACAAAAAAGTAAATGAATATAAGAAGTAAAAAATGAAAAACTGCCTCGGGTGTGCGAACTTTTTTTATTTAAAGAAAAGAAAATGAGAGAGAGGGAGAGAGGAAGGGAGGGGGAAGGAGGGAATAGGGGAAGGAGGGAATAGGGGAAGGATTAGCGCCAAAATCTAAAAAAAGAACCTTTAAAAACTTTCTATATCCTTTAGGCGAACGCTTTCTTCCCTTTTTTCATTTCCTTCCTCCCTTTTTTGGTGTTCTTCTAAATAATTTTTTTAATTCAAATAAAGAAAAATACTAGTTCTCTCTAAAGTAGTTGCTTTTTCCATTCATTACCACCCAAAATAATGAACATATCCGCTTTTGAAAACATGTCCCTCTATTTTTCTTTTATTTTTATTTCTCGTTTTTATTTGTCAAAATTCTTTTATAATATGGGTGGTCAAAATATGTTTAAGAATGCCAAAAATGTGTTAATTCGAAAGTTAAATTATTTAATAAATAAATACTTTTATTAATTTTATTCAACCCCCCCCCCTACAAAAATAAAAAAACCATAAAATTCTCTAAGATGACCACCACCAATATGTGTGGAAATAAAAAAGGAAATTTAAAAACGATAACCTAATAAATATAGCAAATATTTATTGGTAGTAAAAAACGCAAAAAAATATGAATATTTTTTATGAGCCTAATGAAAAAATTGAATTAATAAAAAAAGCTTGCAAATAAAAAATAAAATAAAATAATTGTGAAAGGCGGATATAAAAGAGGGAAATGAATAAAGAATATATTTAGAGATATTAAATAATAAAAGGCAAAAAAAATAAGTTGGTTGTTTCAAGTTTTTCGTGATAAAATAATAGACAAAGATTACTTAACGAATCCGAAACTGAAAAAATTTTTGAATAAAAATTTTTAAAATTTTTTGGTAAAATAAGAGAAAATTTTTAATAAAAAAATAAACAAATCGTTAATATTCAAATTATTTTTTAAATAAACAAAAAAATAATTTAAAGGTTTTATTCTCAATTTAGGGTTGTTTTGTTGGTTATTTGCGAGCCGGATGCTTTAAAGCTGTAAAAAATGGAAAATAAAATTTTGAGCGAATTTAGAAGTGTATACATATATGTACATACATATAAAATAGTAGACCGCAGACCTTGCGCAAAAAAAGAACATAAAAACTGTCCAGTCTATCCGGTTCTTTTTATGGACGATTATTTTTAAAGGAAAATAAATAAAAACGCGGCTGGTAGAAGATGAAAAGGCTGGAAAGGAAAAAGGTCGGATTACTTCCACCATCACTTTGCGGGAGAAAAAAAATGAACGGAAAGAGGGAACGGATAAAAAATTGAAAAAAAATTCGGTTGGATGGACTCCCGATTAGAATAAAAATGGACGAATAAAAAAACTGGATGGTCCGAAAAAAATTGTCAGATGAATTTTGTTAAATAAAAAAAAGGGAAAGGGAAAGAATGAACTAAAAATAAAATGACCGATGAACAAAACACTTAAAATAAAATTAGATCAGTAAAAGTGAACGAATGAACGAATGACAATTCTTTTTTTAAAGAAAAGAATTTTTATTTAGAAGTGGACAAACATCAAAAAACAAGAGAGAAAGGGATTGAATAATAAATTGAAAAAAAAGCTGAAGATTAAATATACGATAAAAATATTTTTTTTTTGGATTTAAATTATTTAATTTTTAAAATTTAGAAATGCTTTATTTATAAAAAAAACTTTTTTTTTGTTTCTATTAATATAAATTAAGGCAGACACAAAAAAAATTAAATCTATATACATATTCTAATATGTGGCAAAATTATGAAAATTCGTAAAAAATGTTTTGTGGATTGTAGACTTGAAATTCCAAAAATTGATTTATAAAATAAATAAAGCCCTAATTTTGAAGATTTTCAGTCCTCAAAAATAAAAATTTAAAAACAAATATTGAAATGATATATGCCGTAAATACTCTAATAAAACCGCACTCTCAAGAAGCAAACTCTAATATAAGCACATCCTACAAAAGGATTGAAAAATGTGGTTCTATTAGGGCATTTACATTATGTAGTACCCACAAATATCCCCCCCCCCCTCTTCACTTCCTTCCCCAAATCATCGAGAATAACAAACTCTTCCATTTATTTAATTTAATATTCTAAAATATGCAAATATTCAATAAGGAAATGAAAGAATATTTTTTAAAGTAAAAACTAATTTATAGGGCATTTTGAGAAAAGGAAAGAAAACTTTTTTTAAAACACAATTGAATAAAATAATGGGAATATGTGTGTGTGAGGAAATATATTTTAAGTAATATTTAACGAATAAAGTTAATCGAGTGACGATTATTTTATTAAATTTCTTGTTACAAATTAGTATAAAAATTGCCATAAATTTTAGTTTCCAAAAAAAGTAATTAAATAAAAATTAAAATTAGAGTTTATTGAGAGAATTTATACATTATTTTTTGTGAATTATAAAAATAGGGGGGTTTATATTGTAAAAAAAGGTATTTAATAAAATAACAAAGTAAGTTGGAAATATCTTAAAATAATTGTTTAACAATTAAAAAATAAATTGGTTTGATTTAGTCAATGTAATCAAGATTATACCTATTTTAAAATATATGTAATTTAAATATGTAATGGTGAAAAAATCTTTAATGACTGGTTAAAGTGCCCAATTTTTATTTAATTAATATGTAATAACAAAAAAAAGTTTTTAAGAGATATTATAATAATACATATACATATATTTAATAATTCAAAAAGAAAAGTAAAAATAAAATTTATTTATTATTTTTTATTAATTAAAACAATTAACAAATAACAAATAAAGGTATTTAAACAATAAAATCAAAAAAAAATTTTTTGTCTAATCCCAAATCTTAAAATAAATGACATAAACTATTCTATTATATTAAATATAGATATTTAATTAAATATTAAAAAAAAGATTTTATAAAAATTATTTTATTAAAAAAAATTCGCGCAGTCTGGCGGTTGCCAATAGGAACAAGAATATATTTAAAAATCTAGAAATGTCATATAAAGATAAATTGAGGGAAATGAATAAAAAAATTAAAGATATAAATATTTTTAGTTTTTGCTCTCTAGTTGAATAAAAAATCTTTTTAAAGCTTTAAAAGGAATTAAATTTAAAAAATTAAAATAAGAAGTAATTATTAAAAATAAAGAGGAACATATATTTAATTGTTTAAACTGAAAAGAGTTTGATTTAATTTTTACAGAAAACCCTAAAATAGTTAAACCCCAAATATGAAAGAAATAAAGACATGTATACAGTAGATGCTCTAATAGAACCACACTATCTATTTGAAACAAATTCTCTAATTGAAGGACACCCTAAGAAGAGGATCGAAAAATAGGGGCACATGTGGTTCTATTAGAAAATTTACGACATATTAGGTTATTAAATTTTTGGGTAAAACAGTACAAATAAACGAGCAATAAGGTATTTTCAATTGTAAAGAATAAATAAACTTTTAAATATTTTAAATAGAATTCATATGTAACCCTGGGTAATTATTGTTTCAATCTCACGCTAGACGGGGTAATTATTTGAAAGAATGTGTTGGATTTAGGGTATATCTCAATCCTATTGAGACGAAATATATTTATTTCTTGATATTGAGTCCTAAAATGTTCCAATAATTAAATTTGATAGTAATTCTTTAAATATTTTTAAAGTTTGTGTGAAATAAATAGGGGGTAATTATTAGAGAGGGTAATTATTTACGAGAGTGTAATTATTTCAGCATTTACGGTGTTGCCCTAAATTGAGAAAAAAATCTTTTTTTGAACATTAATGTATTAATAAACACAATCTTAAATAAATAATTTCAATAAATTTAGAACCAACCATTCTACAATTTCTTTTTCTCTAAAAGTGTTCTACTACATACATATTACTTTTAATTCCTTTCTATTCACATGCAAAACGCGCGCATGGACCAAAAAAATAATATCTACAATTGTGGTTATTTTAATGCCAACGGTCCAATTAAGATAAATGAAAGAAAGGAATGAAAGCGTGGCAATGTTTTAATAAAGAATTTTTCCTTTTCGAGAATGGAAAGCGCAAAAAGCAAATTAAGCACAAATTCCTTTTGATATACAAAAAAGGAAGCAGCTAAAAATTGGTAGAAGAAAAGGCAAAATTTTTAGAAAAAGACACAAAAGGTATAAAATTGTAAAAGCGGAAGTTTGGAATAAATCTGAAGGAAAAAATAAAGGAGATTTATTAGGCTGATTTTATACTTTTCCTTAACAATCTTCTGATAAAAGCTAAAGTTCACTAGCTTATGTTTATAATAATAACGAAATTTTGAAGAATTATGTTTATGTGAAGAACTTAAACATTTAAACAATTGAAAAAGAAAATATTTTGGAAAAATGAAAAATTAGTAAGAACCAAGTTACAAACAAAACATGTGTAAGCGACGAAAAATCAAAGGAAAAAAGTTAAATTCAAAGTTGCGATAAAATAGTTAAAATATTAATTTCACCTTCTAGAGATTGGATAAAATAATCATAATTTAATTGTAAACAGAAAGCATTAAATATCCAAAATTAAATATCGTTTATCCTCACAAGTTTGGAGTTAGGCTTGTGCCTTTCCCTCCTGTGACTTTCCTTCCAAAAATTATTAGTTCCTGTTATTACTGATTTAGTTATATATTATTGCAATAGTTTAAAAAAACTTTTCTTTCAAAACTTTCTCTTTTACAATTATTTTGTTAATATTAAAAATATTTTTATATATTTAAATTTTCGATATTCCTTTCTAACAACCTTTTATAAAAACTATATATTTGTATAAACAACAAAACAATCAAAATTTTCAAATAAAACATAGTAATTCTCTAACATCACTAAAGAGAAAATTTTATTTTTTCTAAACAATTTAAACGTGGATAATTCGTTGATTTAAAATTTATATTTAAAAAAAGTTAAGGGATAATGAAAGAAGGAATTAATTTGGATAAAAGAATTAAATTTATATAAGAGGATATTTAATTAAATAAAAACAGATAAATAAAAAAATTATTGAAAATCTTAAGAGATTTATGACATTTATAATTGTTTAACGAGCAATTAAAGACTCAAAAAACTCCTAAATAAAGACAAACTTCCGTCGAAAATATGATTATCGTCTTTAAATAAATAAATACAAAATACATCTGCCGCGCACGCATTTTGCAACCTTTGCTCATTAAAGACATTCGAGATAAAAAAAATTTGCATGCAGAAAAATAAATAAATGGCAGAAAGTGTTATTTTAATGTGTAGAATGAAGAGATTTATTAAAATAATAAATTATCAAAAAAATAATATTTAAAAATAAAATGTTTAGGATAAACGGAAATTGTTAAAATAAATGATGCTGAGGGAGGGCAATTATATGAGGTTTGAAATTATAACGTGTTTTAGGGTATAAAAAAATATAAAATCATTAAATTTATTGGGGGTAATTAATATTTCAATCTATCGCTGGAGGGGGTAATACAAGTGGGGTAACTATTTAAGGGAGGGCAATTAATACAGGTTATATGGTAATCAAATTATTTTTTAAAGATGACAAATCCAAAACTTTTAAATTTTTTTTAAAAAGGATTAATAAATTAATATTTAATTTAAAAATTAAAAAAAAAACATAAATTAAGTATAATTCATTAAAACGATTAGACAAAAGATTAAAAAATATTTATTATAAAAAATGATGAAAATATAAAATCATTAAATCTTTTTTAAGAAAGGTTAAAAAAAGGATAAAAATTAAAAAAAAAAGAAAAGTTTCGTATTTCTTTTAAAAATTTCTTTTGGTTTTTATAAAATTCTTTTTTTAATATTAAAAAATAGAAGAATCCCCTCAAAAAAGAATTTTTTTAAAGGAATGCATGAAAAAAAAGAGAGAATTTGTTAACGAGCGTTAGATAAAGAGGAGGGGGAAAGCATTTTAGCCTAAAGGCTTCGAGAGCAAAGATATGTTGAGGACAAAAACCAAAAAGAAAAAAATGTAAAAATGGAAAGTCTAAAAGGAGAAAATGTATTTGTAAGTAAATGGAAATGTTGTTTTTTGTTGTTGATAATAATGAGGGAGAGGGAGAGACCAAAAATTGATATATTCTTTTTTGCAACAAAAACAACAAAAAAAAAAAATTTTTATTTAATAATTCTGACTGCAAAAAAAATAAAAAGAAAAATATTAATTAAAAAAATATTTTTTTTAATTTCTTGGAAGATTTTAAAGAAATATTTTTAAAAATATGTAAATTAAGAAAGGTGAGTGGAGGATATTTAATAAATTATCCAGAAGTTTCCTTCGTAATTAAAATTTATATTAAATTTAAAAATAGAGTAAGTCGAGTTCGAGCAGTTCGAGTATACTCGACTCGATCGCTCGGATTTTTTTCGCATTTACTCGGGCTCGGAACCTTTTTCTACATACTAAATGTAATGGAAAATTAATTATTTAACAAATAAATATTTTAATTTTGTGTTGAAAATTTTTATTCTTTAACCTAAAAATTAAAAAAATATTAAATAAAGATTTTTAAAAATCTGTCACGAGTATTTAATTAATTTAGAGAAAGAATTGAGGAAATAAGAAAAAATTATTTGGTAAATTCTTAAACAAAAAAAATCGAAAGATAACAGTTCATCTCTATTTTAACAAATTAAATATATAAAAAATGAGTTGGCAATAAATAAATAAATGTGTGTGTGTTGGAGTTTGGAAAAAAATATTTAGATTATTATCAGTTAGTTTAATTTGGATTTTAACATTTTTGTGATTTTTCAACAAAATTTAAGGGATTATTTAAATTTTTAATTAAAAAAAGAAACAAAGTTTTTATTTAAAAAAATTTTTTAAACAAAATTTTCTCTCAAAGAACAACACATACATAATAAAAAAAATTATTATAAAAATACAACAAGAATGATAAAAAAAGAAAGGGAGCGTTTTTTATCGAGAACCTTTATCGGCCCTCAAACATTTAAATTTTTGTTGTATATTGGAATAGTTAAGTGAAATGTTGGGTGGAAGGTGGTGGCGGTACATTTTGCTTTATTCGCCATTGTCAGTGTTGTGTGTGAGTACCGCCAAAAAAAGACAAAAATGGCAAGAACAAAGTAGTGTAGTCGGACGAACTATCGATCGACTGGCAGAAAGGGTGCTGCTGCCAGCCTCATCCCGCCCCGGCTCCCCTCTACTCTTATATATTCTCTGTTAGCGGAGAGAGCAGGAGTGTTCGTAGAGGACCAAAAAATGAGCGGATAGAGGGGAGCTTAGAAGGAACGAAGGGGGAAAAGTTAGGGGGAAAGAAAATTGGCAGTTGAAGGGATGTTTCCACCCATATATTCGCAGTTAATTTAAATCGGTTATGTTAAGAATAAGAATGTTGGTGAGGAATTTTTCGAGATACGGTGAAGTCTGATATTATTATACCGGAATTGTGAATAGAATGTTTCTAGAAGAGCACCCTAATTTTATTTTCGCGAATATATAGGTTCTACCAACTGTCACGAACGCACGTTAGTAACTGATGAGAAAGTAAGGGAAGAGAGTTGCGAGTCAGAGAATAGTACAATTCTTTCTTTTAAAAGGGAAACAGGGAATAGGGTGGAAATGTTTCACCAACACACATCCACTCTATTTTATTGAACCCTTTTGCTCTTTCATTTCGTTTTTTCTATAAAGTAAAATATAGAGGATTGATAGAATGAAAAAATAAAAACTATTGCCAGCTTGTGAATTCGAGGAATATAAAGTTGAGGAAAATTCAAAGAAAGAAAAATGTTTGGGGAATAGACACTGACAGTTTTACACTATATTTAGTTAAAAAATATTTTTGAAAAAAAATCTGTACATCCTACGAAAGGAACTATATTTTCGAATATTACAGTTTGAAAATATGTAGTTATACCTACATATGTAGAATTCACACATTAAGCTCATTTTTAAATATTCTTTGTTCTACCTACCCAAAACTCAATATCTACTAGTAACATCCGAGTTAAAACATTACTTTTAATCAGAAAAGAGGACAAATTCGGGCACCTGTTCGTTGCTGCCAGCCGTTATTCTTCTCTATAGTATATCGTTAGGTTAAGGGCCACATGACAAACGTAAAAAGTAACGGAAGGAGTATAGAAGAAAAAGAAAAATGAGAAAAAGAGAAAAAGGGAAGGGAAGAATGGGGAGATTTTTTGTTTTATTTTAGTATACATAAACTCTCCAGTATTTAATTCTAAAAGAGCGGAAAGTGCTTAGGCGAAAGAACATTTTTACTTTCCTCCCTTTTTTATTCTCTTATTTGATGTTCCCACACTTAAGTGTACTAAAATATAAAGCTAAAAGAGGAACAAAAGTTGGGGACAAAAAAATGTACATTTTTTTATAAAATTACTTTTAGATTTTAAATAAAAAATAAAGGAAAGAAAAGATATTAAAGTAACTGACAAAATATTATAAAAATTCATTATTTTAAAATGTTATAAACTCGGATAAATTTAATTTTTGTGGATTTAAATCTCAAAGAGGAACAAAAGTTGAGGATGAAACGATTCATGTTTAAAAATATCAAAACATACTTTAAAATAGAGTAGCACCCTTAGCCTTCGGGGGCGGGAGCATCGGATTTCGAGGTTTGCCGGGTAGAGCTTCGGGGTTCTGGTCGGGATTTTTTCCAAAAAATAGTCGGGGTTTCGGGGACGGGGTGCTACCCTACTTTAAAACATAAAAATTACATACTTTAACGAATATCATAAATTTATACATTATTAATTTGGCTGTAATATTTTTAGAATAGGGGTAATTTTTTAAAAATAATTTTAGATTTTTATAAATAAGTTGTTAAAAAAATTATTTAAAAATTATTCTAAAGGTAAATTATTTATTTTATATTTTTTTAAAAAAGATCAACGAGTAAATTAAAAGGTAAAAATAACGATCATTATATTAAACCGCAACTTTTCTAGCCCAACAAACAAAATTTTTTTGCACATGACGGGAGACCAAAAACGAAAAATTGAAAGAGAGAAAGAGTGCGCAAATTCCTTTTCTTTTAATTAAATATTGAATTTAATTGTATGAAAAAAGGAACAAAAAAGAAAAATCTAAATCGGGACATTTTTGTCTTTAATCTTTTTAGCCTTTTTTAGAAAATAAAAATTAGAATATAAAAGACCTGAGAAAATTTTGTTTATTAAATTTGGAATTTAAAATAAATTAATTAGGTATATACAAAAAAGAATAAAGGTTATTGTCGAAAGAGAATGTACAAGGAAAAGATAAATAGAAGATTTAAAACAGGATCGGAAAAACGTTGAGTGTAAATACAAAAAGTTTAATTTGTAAGGACATTGGGGGAAAATTTTTTCAAGTCAACCAAAAAGTCCATTTCTAAGTACTATACTTACAAAATAAAGTACGAATCCAAGCCTTTATTTAGTATGTTCTAATTAGAAATTTATTAAATTAATTATTCTGTTAAATATTAAAGTTTGAAATCTATTTTGATAATAATTCTAATTTAATTTGACTAAGATAACGTAATTAAAAAAATTAAGTAAAAATATTGTTGGAATATTTAAATAGTTCTGAAATAAAAAATAAATTGAAAGTTATTTTCTGTTAAATTGACTGGGATTTGATTAAGAATTCGGTCTGATAAATGAGAGTTTTAATAAAGATCAAGTCTCGATCAGATCTCTAATTATTTTGAATAATCGAATATATTAAATTGAATATTAAATCCTGAAAAGAAATTAAAAGAAAAAATTAATTAATTTAATAATTTAATCTGAAGTTATTTATGTTGGAAGGCTTAGAATGAAAATGAATGTTCTCTAAACTAAATAGTAACTAATCCAAATTCAAAATTTATTACCTCAATTATATATTAAAGATTTAATACAAAAATGATGTCATTTCTTTATTTATTTTTTTATTAAAATTTCAATAAATTACAGTTATAAACACACGTATATACACAATATTTATTTTGTAAATAAAAAGTTTCAACGTTTAAAAAATTTTTTTGCAAAAAATTTTAATGTGCCTAGAATCGTTATTTGTTAAATTCTGCAACGTTTAAATAAACGAAGGTCGTTTGAACGTCTTTCGAGAAAGAAAAATTAAAATAGACAAATATTGAGAGAGAAGATGAAAGTTTTAAATAAAATAAAATTGACTGATCGAGAAAATAAATATAAAAAAAATAAATATATTTATTGTTAAGAAACAACATTTTAGCCCAATGTTTATGTGAGACTGTTACTTTGAGGGACAAACAGAAAATTTTAAAAATATTGAGTGTTTGATTAAAAGAATGTCTAAAAGAAAGAGAATTAATTGAGTAGAAAATATTTTTTTAAATTATTTTTGAAAGAATTTTTAGACAATTATTTAATTAAAAAGGAAAAGGATTTTATATTCAACAAAAGTATAAAATAATTGAAGGCATGTTCGGTAGGGGCGCCGATTCGTTTGTTATTTTTAAAAATGTTTTCATGTACACTCTGCGTCAAAAATGGTTGGCCACCATTTTTGACGCAGAGTGTATATGGGTATCTTTTAAATTTTTTAGTTTCTCATTTTATAAAAATGTAACGCTTCTTTTCTAAGTTCTTATATTTTTATATGCCAAATTTAAAATTGGTAATCCTTTATTGACTATTTGTATGCCATGAGAAATTGAGGAGGGGCAAAATGGGGGGCATTGAGGGGCAAACGGTTTTACATTTCATAAAGCATTTTTAAAGATGCTTTATGAAATGTAATAATTAAATATTTACAAAATAATTTATTAGTAACTAGTAGGGTTGCTCACTACCGGTTATTAACCGGTACCCCCGGTTTTCGGTTATCGCCGGTTTTCGACCCCCGGTTTTCGGTTCCGGTTTTTGATTTACCCCCGGTTTTTGGTTAACCGGGACCGGTTTTTGGACAAATTTTCATCCAGAATATCCCATTAAGACGTTGTCACATTCTAACGCCTTTAAATAGATGTTTTATACTCTAGGAGCATAATAATTTACAAATTTCAACAATTCGAGGAATTAAATAGTATATGGCTAGATAGAGTTGGCTGATTTAGAATATTAGGATAATATAGGGATTAGGGGATATCGACGATCGGTGGATTAGGAAGATAAGAAGTTTCAAGGGCGTTGGGTGATTAATAGTGATCCGATGACCATTCTATGATCTTAAATACGATGTTCATTCCCCAGATATCCTTCTAATAACCCCGATTTCAATTTTCAGCGCCGCAGGCGAAAATTTTGGAAATTTAGGAAGGCCAAGAGGCTAGATTTTTTTTATTTTTCAGCGCCTTTTAAACTATAAGGGAATGCGATGGCCGAAGGCCCGAGCTGACACCCATCTAAAAAGGGAGGGCGATGGCCGAAGGGGATATCCGAAGGTTTGTTGGGATATTTGAGATATCCAAGGAGCATGACGGATATAGTGGATATCCGGGGTAATCAACTATTTGTAGAAATAATAGAGGATTAACTGGATAAATGGATCTCGAGGGATCTCAAAACAGATACCAAAGTAAGTAAAGTTGAAGAGTAAAGTTGAAGATCCTCTTCAGGTAAAGTTGAAGATCCTTGAGTGTAATTAAGTCCCACTCTCGGGCGAGAGAGTGGCGCAGAGACTCCAAACTTTTGTGCGGCTTAGCACATGCCCTGGACTCCAAAATAGACCAAAAAGAATAATCCATCGGATTCAAATATTTTGGGAATTCAAATGTCTGAAAAAATCCCCAAATATTCCAGTCATTAGGGGTGTATTTTTAAAACCGAAACCGGGCGGTTTTGGTCACCGGTTTTCGGTTATCGCCGGTTTTCGACCCCCGGTTTTCGGTTCCGGTTAATTCGCCAAAAACACCGGTTAACGGTTCCGGTTCCGGTTCGGTTAACCGTCCGTGAGCAACCCTAGTAACTAGTTATTTAATAAATAAATGAAATACAACACTAAAAAAAGCACGTTATTCTGAAAGAATTAAAGAAGGGAGAGCAAAATAGATTTACAAAATTTATTTAGATATGTTTTCTTTACTGGGGGTGACTTAAATTTCAATATTTTTTTGGCAAGAATTTAAAAATTATAACTTTAAATGTAAAAAATAACAAAAAGAAATATTTGAATTTATTAGCCATAAATTGCTAAACAAAAAATTAATTATTTGCTAAATATTAGATCGGATTCCTCCAAGAGTGATGTTTTTAATAATTACTATACTCCAGGGATGTGCCGAAACAGATTTTAAAAGGCGAAAGACGAAAGGCGAAAAGGCGAAAGTCATTTTAAAAAGCGAAACACGAAAGGCGAAAAGGCGAAAGTCATTTTAAAAAGCGAAAGACGAAAGGCGAAAGACGAAACACCAAAAAAGACGAAAATATGGCGAAAGACGAAAGACGAAAAGGCGAAATAACTGTAATGAGGAAAAATCCCTAGATATCGGTTAAACCAAAGCTTTGGTTAATTAACTATTTTCAAATCTTCTAGCAAATTCTCCTAATCTTGTGATATCATTATTAACCGGTAAATTATGGATATCAGAGGATTCAGAGTGATTTAGGAGGATATCAGAGGATGTATAAGGCAAATTCAAATTTTTATTTTTTCCTATCATTGGAAATCGTCGATTGAGAATATAGTTAACAGATTTTGGGAAATCCAAGGATATCCAAATCCTATGTCCGAAACGGAAATTTCGATATCCGGATCCGTAACTTAAATTTTTAATAAAATACTGAGGTCTTCCTTAATCAGCGCCGCAGGCGAAAATTTTGAAAATATAAGGTGTCTAA